CGCACCAACATGTTGCTGCTCCGCCTCCTGATGTTTTACCTGCACCTTCGAAGCTTTCTACTAGAACACCATCACCGCCAAGTCGCAAACAGAAAGCCAAATCCGCTCCAAAGGCTCCTGCCAAGCGTCGTCGTCGACGTGACCAATCCCGATCCCGCTCCTCGAGCCCACTGTCACTCTGGACCTCTGAAGACAAACAGAAACTACGCACTCTGAAGGCCGACGAGAAATCTCGATTTTCATGGAAGGTGATCTCGACCAAGATGGGCAAGTCTGAAGAAGATGTTCGCTCTATGTGGAATAAGATCAAAGACCAACTTGGCTGACCAATGGCATATGCGAACCAAAAGGAAAAGGTAGTTTGCGGCACGGTATTACTGATTCACCAACCAGTTGGCTTTCCTTTTTGGGAATTTTTCTTCTTGTTAATCTTCTGAACCATGGGCGCTGTTGCCCCATTGAATTCTGACACGTCGTATCACACAACCCGCCAGCCATTTATTATGTCTCTCCGCATTCACCTGGACCGCTATTGCCAACTGCGAGCTATGTCCCACGAGAGGATCTCACCTACACGACGCTCACGCTCTCCAACCAGGACGTCGTCTTCCGCTATGGGCTCTACGTCATTTCAGCACCCACCCAACCGGTCTTCGCCTCCGACACCTCACCGACCGGTTATTTTCCAGTTGGACCTGAAGCCGATGCAACAACTGGCCGTACGCAACCCTTATTACAACATCTTGAACCCCAAAGTCGCGGGCAACCTTCCTACGGCCACCTATGACAGCTTGTTCCAGACGTTCAAGGTGATCTACCCGGACTATGCTCGCAGTCATTTCGTTTCAGACCTCAAAACCGTCGTCACCGACACGTTGCTACAACGCTGGTCCATACACCTACCAGCGTCGGAGTTCTACATGATGATTGACACCGATCAAGGAGCTCAGATGCTTGACGACCTTCCTCATTCTCTTCTGGATGTTTTGAATTGGTTTTACCCGAGATGGAAAACTCATCAACATCTCGATGCCTTCACGACCCGTGAGTGTTCACCATTGCTGCTGACACCCCATCCAGATGCACAAGACACCGGCTTTGCTGTACATGTTCAAGTGATTCCACGTGGGCATCCATTCGTCACGGCCACCCGATACACTAAAGCCGCTGAGTGATTAGCTGTCTTGATGGATCTTGGCACGGCTCATGTCTATGAGGAAAAAGACCAACATTCGTTATGATGTCCACCACCCCGGTTCTGATTTTCCCTTGTGTCATCCTTTTCTCGTTTTCCATTGGGTGATATTCGTTATTTATTCCTTCATCATTGACCTTCCCCACGACCTTTTGGCTTCAGTTCAGTATTTCTCGTTATCATACTCTTGTGATCGTACATGATGACCTCCAACACGGATCATCCTGCTCGATTGGTCTCGCACCGTTCACCACCTACATCCATACATGGCCTTGCCTCACACTTGCCACCTGATGATCCTACCTCGGCATCCTATATTCCTCGTGCAGCGAGAATGATTCCGACCTCTACCACTGTCCACTCCGTCTTCATCAAGAAGCTGAGCTATCCTTTGTCTAACCGTTCAGATGAACTTTGGATCGTGGAAAGGACACTTGATGGTCTTGAAACGTGGAAACCAGTGGAAACATTCCTGGAGAACATGCACCTCACCAACGACCAGGCGACCTTGCGTACTACAGCTAACCATTGGCGCAGATACTATGACGTACCAATTCAATCATCATCCTCCTCCCCTACGGCAACTACTGTTCCCGTTTTACCACACCCTGAACACTCCAACGTCTACGTCTCACAGCCGTACGAAGCGATACCGGACCATCTCCATATTTTGCAGTCATGCTGGGGACGCTCTGCCCAACACCATTCTCAAGGAACTACTACCTCTTTATATTGGCCACCTTGGCGGTCTACACCACCTTCTTCCCCACCGGCAACACTACAACGTACTGTACATCTCACTCGCCCCGCTGTCCCTCCTCAACAAGTGCATGGTCCACTGGATGCGAACGATATTGACCCGATGGATATGTCGGACTCAAGTGTGTAATATACCACATTATTTGTCGGCAGGAAAAAGACCTGTGATTCATCGTCTCTTTGTGTGACCATTTACTAGGTACACCGTTTCTCTTCCATTTCCAACACTTTGAGCTTGTTTCTGTGGCCATTCCAACCCATTTTGCAGCTTGGGCTTTTCGCTTTATCCTCGATACTTCACATTCGACGCAATGGCTCGTTCTTCTCGACCCAATCCATATCGCGCTACATCCACGATTGAGACACCGCTTGGTACACGAACCGTTGGATGGATTGCTGGACATCGAGGCCTTCCTGGTGATGCGAACCCTCCTCCAAACAGACCTGTCCTTATCTTGGTTGACTTCTCTCCCCTACAGGCATTGACTCACCGAAGCGAACCTGACCGTGAACACTACATGGCTCTGGTGAACTCCAATTTTAGACATGTCAGTGGCTTTGAACTTGCAGCTTTGTTTACCTGGTCACGTCAGATGGAACCAGTTGAAGCCGGCCTCATCCCAATTGCCGAACTTCGCTTCTGTATCTCCAAAAGATTGAGGTCCCAATGGGACATCCAAATTGATCCCTCGAATCTGGAGTTTCGCTTTTGCGACCTGGACGGTGAGACATTCCAAGTTTCCAATGATATGACGGTCTTGCAGCTTTTGGAGGAATACCGACCTGAATGGCGACTTCGGCAGTACAACTCCCGTGAATCTTCTTTCCTCATTCCGGGTACCAGACAGCCTTTCGTACTACGTTTGCAATGCTACAAAATTAGCTCCGGTGTGATCCTGCCCTGATACGCTAGCCGGCCAAAAAAGACCATGCTAGAGGGTTTTCAATTCTTCCTTGACAACCCACTAACACACAGGATTCTTCGATTTCTATTTTATTTGACTTTGAGCTGTGGCTTCTCCGTCGCAATTGACCCACTTGCTTGAGGACTGGATTTCACTTTTATCATTTTTGTGAATATTATCATTTTCGGGATTGGCTTTTTTCTGCAATTCTTGATGCTTCAGCCGTTGTTGCACTATTTCTCGCATTTGTGACAGTTTCACCCATGGAACACAAACGAGACGCGACCGTGGCGGGCTTGTCTTGGCCTTCGAATCCTACCCGTGGACTCGCTCCTACCAATCCAGTTCAAGTACCATCCTTTTCACAATGTGCCCATTGAGACGACATCTCCAGCAGAGGAACCGAGCCTTACCACCCGGATCCACGAATTAGCCACGGATCTTTCTGAGGCCTTGAAGGCTGCTACGGCATCTGGGGAATTCAATGAGACGTGGGCGATGGTTGAACGCATGAGCTTCCACGATGCTTTCGAAGTCCTTCTACAAGCTCCGAATTCTTCTTCTTCTTCTGACTGAAGTGATCGCCCGTTTGTACATTTGGTTTTTACAGGTTCACTCTCACTGGTGTATTGCCGATTCCGCCAGCGAAGTTCTTCCAAAAAATCCAACCTCGCTATATGCGAGGTGTGTGTGTACCATCTGAACAGATGTAAAACTTCTGATTGGTTTTCACTAGTTTGCAGGGGGGTGCAGAGCACAGTGGAGACTGCACCCAACGAAGCTATCCACTTGTGCTGGAAGCAGAGTCTGATCAACTCTGTGTACCTGCAAAATTTGGTTTCAACTGTTGATCAAACTGTTACACTGCGTTGTTTCGAATCTACACGGTTGCCACAATCTGTATTGCATGCATCAGAACCTTCCTCAGATTTTCGCCGAAACCATATCGCCGACAGTATTATGATTTTTTGACATATTTTCGCCGAGATCATGTCGCCGACGAACTTTGGGTTATTTTGGGAAACAATTGCCGAAACATTATTGTGGATTCTCAACATGCTGGTTAAAACTCTATGGATTCTGGTTTTGACTTCGTTTGACAACATTGGATGCCCTACATCGTTCTCGAGAAGTACCTCATGTGGCTCCTTTACTAATCTAACGATCTAGGCTGGTTTGCATGTTTCAGGATTCAGTTCCTGCCGGATCATATAATGATCCATTCTTGTCTAGTGTGTGTGATTTCCCCTGATTTTCTCGTATCTGTCCTCATCGAATCTGTTTAATCAGTATGCTGTATGCTCGACCTAATCTATCAAATCCACCTAGCCTATCTATCCCTTGTAATATACAGTACACATTCAAAAATATATGCAATTCATCTATCTAACTAGGTACACGGCTCACAGGCGGCCTACATACCTATCCATCGCTCTATCTGCCTATCTACTGCATTCATATCAATCGATCCATCCATCCATCGATCCATCAATTCATCCATCCATCTATCCGCCCATCTGTCGATATTGGTACATTAAAAATGAGATCAGCTAGGTGTAGCTCCACACTCTACCTGGAAGCTCCAGATTCGAGGACCCAGCATGTGCACCTCCACCCAGGACTGCAGAAACAAAAACACAGCTACATATATATATGTATATATTATCTCTCTCTCTCTCTCTTTCTCTCTCTCTCTCTCTCTCTCTCTCGTCTCTATCTGTTTGGCGATTCATTTGTGTATTGTACTAATTGTATCTATATAATCTAATCTAATCCGAACAATCCACCTATCTATCCACCTATCTATTCATCTATCTATCCGATTATATCCCTTTATTTGCATCCATAAATGATAGGCCCATGGGCTCTGGATATGATTGTCTCCCGCAACCTTTGGAACTATCTCCAGGTACCAGAGTTTTGTTTCTTCTTTGGTCCTTGAAACACCGGCGATTCCTATTGCAGTCCCCCAAGGTTAGTTCTATATGGACAAACTCCATCTATTGCAACTGACAACCCCGGCAAATCACATAGTTCTTCCATCATCTTCCATCAATGATCATGTTGTAACGAGTAGGGTAACCCAAGAATTCAATGGTCTCCTGAGTGTCTCCATATGTCCCCGTTCAAGGGCGAGCTGCATGACACTGGCCAAGCGTACTAAGGTATGACCTCAGTGGGCCAACATCTCCATGTGGGCAGTGCATGATAAATCCCCAGTACTTCCCCATCCTAAGCCATGTTTGTTCGTTATATCCCAGAAACATATCCTCAATGACTCAATGCATTCTAAGTTCACCCATTATGGCCTACATGTGGCTTCATCTGGGCTGTTTTTTGTGAACGTAAGAAACATAAACGTGGAAATGTGGCAATTATACATACTAACATAGATCATCTGGGCTTTCAGCCTAGGAAACAGATCCTCAAACAAACAATTGAACATGCCACATCTTCTCATCAATCCGCTAATCCATCAATGAGGGCGATGATGGGCGATGTGAAAGTACTGGTACGTTGAATCTCTCCGCTTGTCCTTTTAAGTGTGAGTTTTGCTGTTTTTCACTGCTGTGCTGTCAAGAAAAGAAGAGGCATCTTGGGAACATCACCAACAAAGTGTTCAATAAACAACGGACTCAAACTTGATTGGAATGTTTAAAACAGCGCTTGGAGAATAAAGAGAACGTAGAAAACCGTTCCGGAAAGCAACTGAGAGCTAAGCAGCAAAACTCAGCACGACCATTTTATATCTGCACCAGTCCCTGACCTCCGGATATCGAATTCAGCTGTTGCCCACCATCTGTAGGTGCCAGCTGCCAAGCCAGCTATGGTGACCATCACACTCTGCTGATGAGTTGGAATTTTCGGGAAGTGATCCAACTGTGTCAACTCCCCCGAGCATGTGGCTTATAAACATAGGATACCAAGCAGTCATATGGGGCTGTCAAAAAACCCCGATATCAATCAAATGGTGTTTCCACGCGTTATCGTTTTTTTTTCCTCTTATCGTTTTTCCAAGTGCTGGCTTCACAACCTCATGAAACAATTCATATTGTGTTTTCTTTGTGGGATATCACCTTACAACCACCAGCTTCACATCTGTTTTTCGGAGAAAAGCTTGCATCTGCAAAGCTTGCTGCTTCGAACATGACCCATAAACAATATATAATGTATAGCATCGTTATCGTTTTTTTCCTCTTATCGTTTTCTCGAGTGAGAACTACATATAGCTAATGGGGGATCATGGCATACTAAACGAATAGGTGCCGGGTTACTATACTCTCCCATATATCCATGATCATTCTCTCTCTCTCTCTCTCACTCTATCTCTCTCGCCATCGCCCTCTCCGAGAGTTCATTCACAGACTGAAGGCGAGCCAACCATTGAGTTATACTGTTATGCTCCCAAATTACTCATGTATCACCATTCATAGTTGATTTTCCCATTCAAACCTCCATCTAGTGCGGGGATTTTCTAGAGGCTATTTGGAAAAAAAAAACGCTGGGATGGTCAGCCCTCAGCCCTTTTCGGCCCTCAGATCTTCTTCCGCTTCTTTCCTCGCTCCACCCGCTGCAGGGCCTCCTCCGCCTGACGTGCAGCCCGCTGCAGCCGCGCTGCGCTGCGCGCTGCTCGGCGCCGCGCATTGCGCGCCAGGCGCTGCTTCGGGCGCCCGGGGAAGGAGGCTTCGGCCGTGGAGATGAGCAGCTCGGCTTCTTCCTGCACGAAAAATGATCTAATTACCCGAATCTACCCAATCTACCCAGAACAAAAATGCCACCCCTGCCACCTGGCTGCGGTGTGCGGAGCGCCAGCGTTTGCGCCGCTCGCGGGTCATCCACGACAGCCACTCCTGGCGCAGCGCCGGCCACGGCCTGGGGCCGCTGGCAGAGCACAGCAGGCGACGGCGCAGGTGGAGCAGGGCGTCCGCGGAGGCAATTGTAGGGGACTGCACGCGGCCTTAACGGCAGGATTTATGGTAGATATATCGAACTATAGTGAATGGATGTGAATTTGGGTGATGAAGCAACTTTTAACTGGTTTGTGTTTAGCAAGGGGGGTCTGTATGGTTCTTGAGGCATAGGCATAGATGCAAGTCGTAAGTTCGAGATCTTATCTTGCTAGTTTAGGTGCAACATGGCACATGCTGCATCTGTGTGGAACCTAAATGCCAAATTGTGGGTTTTTGTGCAAGCTCAACTGTCTTTGAGTTTGGGGTGTGGGGTGGGGTCTTGTATTTGACTCAGGCTTGGGTCTGATTGCCTGGGTGAAGTTCTTTGAAAAAATGGAGATATTACTGATTGGTGACAGCGTTTGGTCAAGGAGTCAAGCGCCATATGTATGGCAGCTGGTGAGCCCTGGTTCTTCTGCATTATCTATATCTATATCTATATATATATATATATGTGTGTGTGTCTAGTTTGGTTTCTTTTAAAATAAATAAAAAACTGAATATATATAATAAATAAATAGGTAAATAAATAAATACATATATATATATAATATGTATATATACATATAATATATATAAATATATTAAAATATTATATATATATACATATTAAGTATTATATATATATATTATATTGTTTTTTGTTAAATTGCCACCTTTCCCATATACACTTGTGTTCCACAAATTAAACAGTTTCACGAGTCATGAATATTATTTATCTTGCAGCCTGCTAGCGTACTACTGTTTTGTACATATGTGGCACATATTGACACCGTCTATGCGCATATGTTCACTGGAGTTCGTCCGAATTTCGCCAAGTGGCGCCCGACCCAGCGCCTCAAATCCAGCACCAAGCGGAAATTCAGACCGAGATCATCCAGATCGCCTGGCCCAAGAAGGTGCCCTCTGATTTTAGTGTTTGAAAACTATTTGAAGAAGGAAACATAGGAAAAATGAGATTCTAAACCGCGGGATTTGGGGATACATTATGTTCAAATGCCGCATTTGGCAATCTCCAGCGTTGAACCGCGGTGACTAGGGTGATGTGACCCTTGGCTTTTCCTAGTGAGTTCCTGGATGCAACATGCCAGAAGATATAGGTCTTGGATGTCTTTGGTTTGCCACTACAATGACATTGTCGAACCCCCAAACTTGGATGGTCTATATTGGGTGACCTCCATAATGTGCTCAAACTGGCACATGTTCCAAACAATCTGTCATTGATTGAAATCCTGCGGGCTTGCCCTCCTTTCTTCAGCGCAAACCAAGAGATTTTGAGATACAATTTTTAGACAAAGAGTCTTAGTGAATAATAACATTATGTTATAAATAGGTGAGTACCAATGATTTATAACATGTTATAATAATATTTTACCAATAGTTTATGTTGTTTATAAATAGGTGAGGACCCTTTCCCACCACTGCTGTACCTTGCATGCAATTTTTAAATAGGTATTGGTACCCGAGATTCACACAGAGTGGCCCTAAATTTGTTCAGCATATGTTTCGACTCATACAACCCAAGAAATGTTGCAGTATTGTGTCGGTGATAATATTATACCACTGGTGCTATGTTGGGTCATATATCATCATATATCCATGTCTAATCATGGCAACCCTTCAGTAGCTATTGCAAACCCCCCAAGTCAAAAGATGCAGGCACCATTTCAACAAATCCTAAAGTAGACTTACCCTCTGGTAAACTAACATATAGCTATTGAACATGGCCATTTATAGTGAGTTTTCCCATAAAAACATGTGATGTTCCATAGTTCCCCACCTGCCAGGTGAGGGTTGTTAGATTTTATGTCAGTTGCCTCCTCCTCCTGCCGCCTCCTGCCTCCTGCCTCCTCCTCGTCCTCCTTGTCGTCCTTGTCGTCCTCGTCGTCCTCGTCGTCCTCGTCCAACTGCGACCCGCGATCCAGAGTGTTCGCTGCCGGACCTCAACCACGACCATCCACGACCAGTGTTCCCTGCCGGACCTCAACCACGAGTATCCCCGCCCAGTGTTCCCTGCCGGACCTCAACCACGACCATCCACGCCCAGTGTTCCCTGCCGGACCTCAACCGCGAGTATCCACGCCAAGTGTTCCCTGCCGGACCTCATGTAGGAAGATATGGGACAAAGAATGTGCAGAAGAAGATGAATCAGTCAGATGTAGATATGCCAGAAGATATGCCAGATAGAATGCCAGAAGATTTGCCAGATAGAATGCCAGAAGATATGCCAGAAGATATGCCAGAAGATATGCCAGAAGATATGCCAGAAGATATGCCAGAAGATATGCCAGAAGATATGTCAGAATATATGCCAGAAGATATGTCAGATAGAATGCCAGAAGATATGTCAGAATATATGCCAGAAGATATGCCAGATAGAATGCCAGAAGATATGTCAGATAGAATGCCAGAAGATATGCCAGATAGAATGCCAGAAGATGCCAGATTTGCCAGATAGAATGCCAGAAGATATGCCAGATCATATGCCAGAAGATATGCCAGATAGAATGCCAAATAGAATGTCAGAAGATATGTCAGATAGAATGCCAGAAGATTTGCCAGTAAGAAAATGTATAAATGTCATGGTGGGGATCACACGAAGCAAAGTATTTTTTTGTATGTTTACCAGAGGGTAAGTAACATGAACCGTTTCTGATAGGTCTTTCTTGGAGCTGCTCAAATGTCGGCATCAAATCCAGCGACATCCCATGGCCATGCCTGCGTCTTCCACAGCCTGACGGAAGCCTCCCTCGAAGTGCGGGGACAGTCGCACCGCTGCGCGGCCCAAGTCCTGGCCGACTGATGGTGAACATCAAAATACTGGTAGCCGGGATGTATGATGACTGATGGCTTTTCATCCCCTAACCCCTCAAAAAAAAGGATTTATTTTGCCGTTTATAGCTATTGATCCATAAATATCCATGACTTAAGTTTGATCTATTGGGAAATCCTCATTTCACATCATTTTCCATAGGATCATATAGGATCCATGTATGGTATATATGCTAACATTGGTATATTGATGGGATCCATGTTACCATTTATATAGCAGCACCATGGATCCTATGGGTTTTAGAGATCATAAAATGACCTCACGACGAAACCCGAGCCTCGAGGCGTTGCCGCAACCTGCCGGCCTCGCGCAGGCATCGTGTGACTCGACTGCAAATGACCACACCACAGAGGTTCATCCGTGCGGCGAAGAAGTCACCTGGAGGGCCAAGGAATGTATTTTACCCTCTGGTAGACTGACATAACTATGGAAAGATCCACTATTTTTAATGGGCAAATCCACTATTTCGACTGGGCCATTTTCAATAGCTATGTAACAAATTACCAGAGGGTACCATATTTTACCATATTTTACCGGCATCTGGTGGTGATTTCATGGCATTGAATGGGATTAATGGGATTGAAAATTGGCATTCAACCCCTTCCATCCCAATTCAGGATCAAGGAATCCGATTGCTGGAGGCATCAAACCGTAAAGCTAGGTCGCCTAGGAATATCCGTTCATCATAGGGCTCCCATGGCGTTAACCCATCGGCCAAGCAGCCCTTGCTGGTGCGCATGGTCCACAGATTCGCCTTGATGCGAGCTGGGTCCTTGTATCGCCAGCTGGCAATGCCCTGAGCCTCTCGACCTGGCAACATGGCCAGCTCACAAATATGGGGGGTGAATACCCAAACAGCTCCCACATTAAAGCTATACTTATATGATTTGTATGTATCTGTTTTTGTGAGCATCCGCATATATAATGTATATATATATATGCATAATTATATGTATATATATGTGTGTGGTAATTATAAAATCATTACTGTACATGTATACAAAAGACCTAGTGAATCTAGTGACTTGTGGTCCAAGGATTCTTTCAAGGACTGCAGATTTCCCTACTACAAATCTTTTTCACCAATCCATTGGCTGTCATGTTTTATGATTAAATCCCCATCAATCTCATTATCTGGTTGGTGGTTTCAACCCCTCTGAAAAATATTAGTCAGTTGGGATTATTATTCCCAGCATATGGAAAAATAAAAAATGTTCCAAACCACCAACCAGTTATTCTCCCATTAAATCTCGGTAAAATCCCTATCTGTTGATCATTCAATCACCATCTGATGCTTTTTACGGGAAACCGCACCTGAGTTGCACGGGGGCCTCTTAGCTGGCACCGTCTCCATGAGCCAAATCCTGTGGTTTGGAACCAAGCATGGCACCCATGAAACCAATAAAGAAATATAAAGAAGGCCAAACTTGTGGAATAAAGGAAGCTACAGCAATCTCATAGATTCAAGAGTACATGGATAGATAGCAGGGGGTATAGACATGGATAATAGAAATGAGATGAACAGATGAGCAATCATGATTATAACACCGTTATTTAATAGGGAACATGTGAATTAATCAGCGGATTTAGGGATACCCTATTTTCAAACAAACCCATTTATAGAAAAGGAATATGGAACTAGATTGAAATGTATAGAGTCATGGGGGTTCAAACACGTGATACACTTATTTAAGTTCAAATCACTTTATTGGGCACTTGAAGGGGATACAGCCTGTCTAGATCCAAACAGATTATTTGTCTCTTAAATTCATGGTGGCACCTAAAGAGCTTAAAAGCAGGGGCCATTTGAAATAGCCTGGGGAAGTCCTACGCCATCTAATTGGGGGCTCACTGCAAATCATGCCAGTGCACAAATAGTAGTTGCTGAAGTACATGATGATGCCTTACTCAGGCTTGCGTTCATCATTCTGCCCTCAAACTGGAGCATCTGTTCACCCAAAGCCACAACAAAATGAGCTGACCCCCAATGGAGCAGCATGCCTCATTGTCAAGGTGAGAACTAAACGGGCAACAATCTGCAGGACAATCTCTTGTGACTCCATGAAGTAGTGTTTGCAAACGGGCGGCAAGTATGCGGGTTGATAATTTGTCCGATATTAACATCGCACATTTGGGGGCCGGTTCCCCATTTCGGGACAAATCCAAATCACGATCGTTGGGATCTGGCTGAATTCTCATTCACCAACCTGAAATAAGGTGACTTGGGGAAGTTCCCTATCCGAACCAACACTTTCACTTTCACTTCGCATTCATCCCCAGTTTTGTCAACTCCAACTTCCAAAAACTTACCCTCCCTCCAGTAAACTAATTAACAGATTTACCCTACATAGACATAAGCATCCACATGCATCCACCATGAAAGTAGACCACGCACGGAACGCAACGCGGAATTTCATCGAGTGTCAGCTCTTGCCGAAGCTTCGGCGACAGTTTCTCTTCAATGATCTGCGAGGCCGTGAGCACCGCCCAAGAAATTGGCCATGTTGAAATCAGTCCAGTTTTAGAGGATCTATGATGATTTACAGTGATTTACTTATCAAAAATGGTGATTTTCCATAGCTACGTTAAATAACCACACGGTAAATAAAATTGAGGATACATTGATCAATTGAATAATATTGAATACATAGTATGAACATGTATGAACATTGTTCAACCAAATGAGTTGAACCGATCCAAAATCAATTAGGGATCATTAGAACCAAATGAACCATACCTGGTGGGTCAGAATCCTGGTGGACCTGTCTCCAAGGCACCGGCCGCAAACCCAACCCGGGATGCCACACCGTTGATCCCCAGGCACCATCCCTCCGTAATCTCGGTGATTCAGCCACACCCCATTGACCAACCACAACAATCATCAACAACAAGGCGAACCTTAACTATCTGGCTATGTCTAAACAGGGGTATACTGGGTATACACCTGTTCATTTGAAAGGTGATGAACCAATCTGATGCCAGAATGTCATTCTAAGTATTCCAAACAGTTCCCAACAGTTTGCATAAACAAAGCCAAAGCTATCGACCATTGGAGAGTCACCTTGGCAAACCCCCAACCGCACCTCCTTTCGCTGCTGTGCCTCCGCTGCGGCCAACTGCTGCCGCAGCGTCCGCAGGCGCCGCTGCAGCACAGCCATGGCGCTGCCAAAAGCGCCGCGGTCGCAGCTGGAGTGACGGCCGGGGCCCAAAACACAGGTGCCACACATGGCAGTGGCCCCTGAAGCGTTCCTCAGCTGAGACTGACTGAGCAGAAGATGTATTATATTGTACTGTATTATGATGTCTGGGAAATATCTGATTTGTTGAAGACATCAGGTTTCATTTTGGCCTCCTTGTAAAGCGTTTCAAGAAAGAGGCAAAGCATGGGGGAACTTGTGCAGCAAGAGATGTGTATGTGTATGCAACCGAGCTTCATGGCCCCGCGCCTCAGACGTTATTGTTACTATTGTTGTTATTGTTATTGTTATTATCATTGTTATTTCGGTTATTGTTTGCATTCTGCTCCTTGCCGAAGGCGGAAGCCATTGCGAGGGAATGGGCGGCACGCTTCGACATGGTCACCTGGCTAAAATGTCTTGGAGTGGGAGGAATCCCTTCCAAATGGCGGCAACGGGGTGGGTTGGCACCATGTTCATCCGTTTTCCGGCTGTTAATTTCCATAATTTCGAGAAGAGCAGCTCGATCACTGATAACCACTGCGATTTCTCGATGTACCTATACTATAAATAATTATGGACACACACACACATATATCCTAGGAACCCAAACCCGCAAAAAAAGTATGGTCAGTGGAAAAACCCGAGGTTTCTGGCAGAAACCCGAGGTTTTTCAAATCAGTAAAATACATTAAAATACGGGGTTAGTACGGGTAAAATACGGCGTTAATATGGGTTAAATACGGTTTCAGTACAGGTTTGAAAAAGAAACACCGAGGTTTGTGTAAGAAACCCGAGGTATTATTTTCATTTTGTCAAACATACCCAAGGTTTCGAGTCAGACCCTGCAAATTTCCAGGGTTTGGGTTCGCCGGGTATGTGTGTGTATGTGTGTGAAATGCTGGTGGATGGGGTTGTGGGCTTGCGGGATGGATGGCCCTTCTGGTACCCCCTTCTATCATGCTTAGCTAAAATTCACCGTGACAAAAGGACAGAGCAAATGCAAATGCAGAAACACTTGGATGCAGCATCGACATGACAGGACATGGAGAAGGACTTGGATGTAGCATCGACATGACAGGACATGGTCTAACTCTACTTCCACCGCCATGATCTCAACAGCTGGAAATCGATCCTATGCAAGGCGCACGCCTTGGAAACAGCGAAATCCATGATCTGCGACATGATTTGCAAAAAGGATGAGGTCAGGGACCGTCAGGGGAGACTGGTGCGGAAACTCGAGCGGCAGCTGAGCCAAAGATAAAAACGGCCGCGATGCCACAAAGGGTGCGCGTGAGATGAGAACATGGTGGGTGCACCCCTGGCAAAAAATATATATGGAATCCATGAACTCAAGACTCCAAACATCTCCAAACATCTCCAAACCCAATATATAAGGGTTCCATATGGGTTCCATGTTTGTTTTCGGGGTGGCTATCTGGTTGGTTGTGATCCCCAGCCTCCATGGAACAAAATCAGAGATGCCTCCGTCATGTGGCTGATCCGTCGTCAACCAGTCACCAGTCGGCCAATCTTCGATCAAAACAGATGTCCATATCTTTAGGGAATGAATCGGAATGAACATCCAGCTTTCTACAATTCTTGGTGTAAAAAAACCATTACCCTCTGGTAAACTAACATAACTATGGAAAATCACCATTGTCAATGGGAAAATCCACTATAAATGGTCATTTTCAATAGCTATGTTAAATTACCAGAGGGTTAAAAAAAAAAAACTGATCCATTTCCAGAGGGATTGATCTACTGCTGACCGTGAACACCCACAAAAGGCCACGAAGAATCGGCCAGGGCGCGGAATTGTTGCACTTCAGCCTGGGGACCATCTGACCGATGCCAAGCATCTGCCAAGTAACAAGCCATATTAGTCATATAGTGAATCATACCAAAGGATCAAAATCTAACAACATCTAACAACCCTCTTTGCTTTTCGACATATCATACAGTAATATGCTGTGTTCGAAACAACTTGTCAGCACTTGCTAGGGTTAAGGTGGGTCTGCACCAATGATCCACATCGAATCAAGATGAATCAACCAATTCTGGCACTTGCTTGGCCCAACAAAAGGGTGGACATCATGAATCTGTAGACTTCTGATGGCACGCCAGTACACCAATTTTTTAAAATTATTCTGTTGTCAAATGGTTTGGACTTAATTTTATATTTGTGTCTCAAGGGTGGGTGGAACAGAAGACTCCCTTTAAACTCGGGTATGTCAATTAGCCCCGGCTCAAACAACCACTGGCCCTAAGAGAAGGTACCATAAATGAACACCATGACCATCAAACCACCGATGACACAAACATCCACGGAACGGAATCATGTGCTGCCCAGCAGCAGGCTTGGTTTGTTTGGCTGCCCGGGAAAACGAGATCAAACAGCTCACGGAATCAAACCATTCACCTTCGCAGCTGCATCGCAAGTAAAGCATAGACAAAATGAATGGCGAAAGGGATTGCACAATGGATTGAAAATAGGTGTGTCTGGTGTTCTCCTGCTGTGACATGTCAAATCAAAAATCAACATAATAAGAGGCAGTCAGAAGCGGCTTCGACCTGCCTCGCATTTGATGCATCAGGGTGGTTCCCTCCCAAAATCGTTGTAGAGCCTGCGCGGCTCAACAACCCAGCACAAATGGCTGTACGGAGGCTGCTTACGGTTGATGCAAAGGCGACTAACTGTGACTAACTATACGTATATATGAATGACATTGAATGACTACGCTCAGGGAGGGCCACTTCCAACGAAGGCATTTCTCCCTCAAAGACATGCTGCTTGTCAGCCGGGCCAACATCATGCCAAACATACTTGAAACATGTTGAAAACAAGAAACCATGATATGAATAGGATAGCAGGATAGCATTGAGGCACACATTCCATGGACTGAGACAAAAAAACAACACCAAGCCAATCCTGAAAGTCAAGGCCTCAATGGTATTGAACAATGTCAACGTTAAATTCACAAAGTTGCTACCGAGATGTCAGGATATGTTTCAACATGTTTCAACTTTGGTATCGGAGCCAAAGTTCACCATCGTGACCCGCCTGACGTGTTCGAAAGGCGATCAGCAGGGCCAAGGAAGCGGTCAAGGCGCTCCAAACCTCGGGGCCGGGATGAGCCCTCCATCAACCAACAACGCCTGCTATGGAAAACCCACAGCAGCCTTAAGGGAGAAGCACAGCACTGACAGCTACAATTGGTTGTCCATAGCTGTGTTAAATTACCAGAGGGTACCACAAGGTCACCAGAAGAGTTGTATTACTAAAATGTCGTCATCTGTAGTGGTTAAGACTTTTTGAGCATGGGGATCTATCGTGTAACCAGGTAAACATGTGGTATACCTAACGCAACCCGCCAGCATTGGGCATACTATGGCATACTATGGCATACTGCATAGTTGGAGATGATTGGGGTTGACGGTTAACTGCCTACAATTATCCAGAACTGGGGTCAACTAGCCATGACTGGCGGTTAAGCAATCAGGCTTTACTTATGCAACCAGAATGGTTTTGAAATTGACCACCAGAAAAGGTGGAAAACCAACAGAAACGAGGATTCAACCACCAAAGCAATGATGGTAAAGAATCGTTCATTTACAGTATCAATTTCTTTATGAACTGCGTGAATTTGTCTTTGACTGCGCCACATGCACCTTCAGCGACACAATCTCCCACTGTCAGCCCAGATTACCAAAAGGCTATGGATCCATGGATCCATGGGTAGTATCTCAACTGTACACTGTATCCTATGACATGATGCACCTGGATGTTTATATAGCTGGATGATTTAGGTCAGCGATTCCAACAACATGTGATATCGCGGGGCCCCTTTGAGTTGTTTCCCACCATCATCTCTGCAGGAGTTCACCTACATGATGGGGATATCACCAACCAAAATAGGAACTATTTCACTAACCCGAGACCTGGAAAGCATGATGTGGAACGACATTTGCCACCATGAAATGTGAGGGGTCTTTCAATGCCTTTCAACCGCTTCTCCAATAGCCATGAATCATCTCAGCCCAACATGAAACGGTGTACTGTATCCTTGTTCGAACCCTAGACTACAAGGGTGTCAGGGTGAAACTAACCCATCAACTGATATTATCCTGTTCCTTGACTTGGCCAACAAACATAGGGGAGTTCTCCTGTAGAAACTCGTCATTTATAGTGAGGTCGGCCCCCTCAAGGGCGCCGAAATGTCGGCAGTGTGATCCCCGCCTGACTTTTATTGAAATCTTCTTGCACCATCACAGCGACGAAATCGCTTGTCTCCTTGCTCGTCCCGGGTCGAAATGGCTTGGGCATGGGTCCCGCAGGGCTTAGTGCTCCATGGAAAACCTATTGGAACTGTGAGAATTCAAACAACATGTCCATGTTCCACTTTCCGTGGGTAGCATTGATTAGAGCAACGGATGAAGTTGTGTCTCAGAACAGAATCATAAACCACGATTAGGGCCACAAAGGATCTTAAACGCAGCTTGACATCAACATTGTCTTTTTTTCTGGATCCAGGATCCAATTAAACTCTGCCATTAAAAAAAAACTCAGGTGCTATCCCCGACAGCTTGAAAGCTTCTGCGTTTTTGCCATAAAAGGTGCTTATGCCATAAAAATTAAGCGCTTATGCCATAAACATTAAGTGTTTATGCCATAAAAATTAAGTGTTAATATGCAATTTAAAAACAAAAACATCGGAACCCTTTGGAATTTCACAAAGCATCTGCAAAAGAACCCTCCAGAACCTCACAAGGTATCTGCACCGCAACCCTCCGGAACCTCACCAAGCATCTTCTCCGCCAAAACCCTCCGGAACCTCACAAGGTCTCTGCACCGGAACCTTTCGGAACCTCACAAGGTATCTGCCCAGGAACCCTCCCAGAACCTCACCACGCACCTTCACCTAGACCCTCCGGAACCTATAGTAGCTGCACCGGAAACTTCCGGAACCTCACCAGGTACCTGCACCAAAACCCTCTAGGCTCTAGAAACCTAAGCAAGTATCTGCACTGTAACCCTCCGGAACCTCACCGAGTACCTGCACCGAAAACTTACGGAACCTCACAAGGTATCTGCACCAGAACTCTCCGGAACCTCACAAAGTATCTGCACCGGAACCCTCCGGAACCGCACAGAACCCTCCGGAGCCTCAGCAGGTATATCTTCACCGGAACCCTCCGGAACCTCACGAGGTATCTGCACCGGAACCCTCCGGAACCTCACGAGGTATCTGCACCAGAACCCTCCGGAACCTTGTCCGGAACCCGGTGTTGAAGCTGCACCGGATCGCACCGGAGCTAATCTGGGCTAAAGACCCCATAGCAAAGTTTTGCTGTTGGGGGAGGGGGAAAAAACAAACTGTATGCAAAGGCCAAAGCTCCGCGATGTCATTCATCAGCAAGCACCATGCAGCGGTGAGGATCAAACCTGGTGTGTGTGGCACAAATGATGCGACAACTGCTGGACATCGGGGAATTTAACAATCAACTATATAGAGATTTAGTGGAACTAAATGGGATTTTCAGAATTGAATTTACCAGTTAACAAACAACAATTGGAGTTACACTATAGCCTTTGATAATGTTTTGAAATTGCTATGGAAGCCATTGGCCATTTAGTTCGATGATTTCCCAAATAGAAATGGTGATTTTCCATAGCTATCTTACTATAAGAGTGGTTTTCTATCAACAACTTTGGGTCGAATGAGTCTGAAGCAGCAATGACACTCCCTGTTTCCGTAAAGGCAGTTGTCACAGCAAATCATCCCGCGTTTGAGTGCCCAATTTTGACATGCCTGCATTTACCGACATGGGGCTCACTACTACGATCTCATGTATGATGGCATATGGGCAAAATATGGCAAAATTAAGTATTATTAAATTATAATGCTAAAAGTTGATCTTGAAACCTAAGGACCCAAGGTGATTGATGCAGAATGTCTTTCAAAGGAAGGTGCTGCCATTTAGGTACTTTGGCAATCCATCTGTGCCAATCCAAGCAGCTAGGTACGGTCAAGAGAAAGGCGAAGGGAAAAACGGAGCCACGCAGTCTGAAAAGGATCGTGAAACCATCCTGCGCCGTTGCGCCGTGAAAACTGCGCCGGCCGTTCACAGTTCACCCGAAAAAAGGGATTCACCCAATTTTATTTAGGCCACAGCATCTCCAAGTCATCACCCATTTTTATGGCTGGGATGTCAACCATCCCCAAGTTTGGTAGGTCATTGGCATTGGGTGATCCCACATTACTCTTCAGTACTTGAACTAACCTCTGACTCTTCCAGCCCGGTGACCCGATGAAAATGTCTAAAGCGACGTTTTATGTGGTATAAACCTAATGATAAAACCTATCCCTACGTAGCATTACCATTAATGGATATGAATTAAATGGGTGGTTAAAAGAAAAAACATCTCCAAATGGTAGACTTACTATTGGGTTTACCACATTAGGTATGAATGGTATGAATATAACGCCAACCCGCATCTTGGAGGTTGATTGAGACAGCGGACCATCTCAATATTTAGGCCCAACTGCTCAGAATGCTCAGCAAAATCCAGACCATCTTCACATGTTTGAATTCTCCCTATCCCATAGGATCCATGTATGGTATATATGCTTACATTGGGGGTATATTGATGGGGTCCATGTTACCATATATAGCAGCACCATGGATCCGTCATGGGTATCTTTCAGACAAGAAAAGGTTCCTGCAGACTGATCCCCAGAACTAATCCAGCCTCATATTCAATCATCGTTCACTTTGGAACTGATGGCTAACTCCTGACCAGGGCTGACGTCCATGTCTGAAAATCGCTGCATGATCCATGGGTGCAATCCACTAAGCGGAAATTGAAGTCCAGAGAACGGAGTGGATGGGATGGACGTGGGATCAAATATGCGGTTGTAGGTTTTAACTAGCTGGCTGCTTTCAACCGGTCGGACAATCTTAGTCTTAGTCATTTGCGTCGTTCATCATCCCAGTTTTGGGGTTGGAGAAGACACAATCAAAAAAAATATTAAACCACCATGCCGGACAAAGGAAATAAGGTGGGTAACCCAACAATAAACCTACCAAGCTTGGGGATGGTTGAAATATGTTGAAATCCCACCCACCAAAATGGTGATGAATTGGGGATGCTATGGCCAGCTATGGGAACCGTCGAACCTGGGGGGCCTAGCTCTACGAAAACGGCAACCATCATTTTCGTCATTAATTGGCTGATGTTTGGGAGAAATCAACATTTTCAAACACATGTGTATATATATATATACATACATACATACATACATATATATATATATATATGTGATATACATATATACATACATATATATATATATATTATATATATATATATATTAATTACATAGAGGTATATACTGTTTTCAAGCAGGGGAACACTTGGCAACTTGGCGGTTTCAGAGACAGGGGGTCCCACGGAAAACGTTGCTTCAAGCGATAAATCTCTTCCTTCAGAAGGGTAGGATCGATCAGCAAATATCTATCAAAAGCACCAAATGAATCCAAATGACCATTGCAAAAAAAAATGCAGGACATGGCAGAACATGATGAAACCAAAAATGAAATAAGCCCAAAATGAAACAAAACAAAATCAAACAGCTATTTCAGTGAGCCCAGTTTGTATATCCCAAAGATCCATTTTGTGCCTCGGCGCGTGGAAGCTCTTCACGCCACCCGCTTCCGAGCCGAAACAGCGAAATGGCTCTCAATGGGTTTGAACTTCTGTCCGTTCCTCGCTATCAAACTAATCAACCTACCAGTCATTCTGAAGCTAGCAATTTCTTAATGATTGAGTTTGTCGACCTATATTAGGATATCCATATGTTCTACTGATTCCAGAAGTAATCCCATCCCCCTGATATTAAACACCCCCATTCCATGGTCAGCTCATGTGGAAATTCCCACCAAAAAGAAACTGGTATCGGGGGTGTCTCACGTTGGCCCGAAACCTCTTGCCACCTCTACCAGCACCTTGTAGTTGGATGTGCATCCCACTTAGCAAGTGGTTTATAATCCATATGTAAGCCATACAATCCATTATATAATAGGGGATGTTCCATATACTGTATATATAACTTTTATAACTGGCGGTAGAAGCCACTTCCTAAAGTGGTCTGCACCCACTTTGTACATGAGAATTTGCGGTAGGAGCATCACAATTCAATCGCGCAATCGAATAACTCAGTGGAAGAACTAGTCAACATTTTGCCGATGGATTGATCTTAGGGGCAGGTTTACCAAACATCACTTTGTCTCCTGCAAATTTACAGCAAAACGAAGTTTGAAATTTGACATTCTGGGAATTTACCAAACTTGGTTCTTGACAGGCTCAAGCAAACTCGAGCAAACCCAAGGGCACCAAACAGCCATCTTGACCGCACCATCGCTTTGCAAGAGCTGGGTCCTATAGAATGTGAGTCATATCATATCATTCAGCAACGTCCAAATGCCACTTCACAATACATTACTGCATTATATGTACAGTAATAAATCTATATATATATGTATATTATATGTTATATATATGTATATATATATATGTATATATATATATATGTGTATATATATATATGATCACATTCAACAAGTTCCTATCCCTTTCCGTTCTTTTGATACATTAAAGTTCATTCGCACCCATCCATCAAAACATAAACAAATGGCTAACATGCTGCAAGATAATGCAAGATACACATATCACATATGTGCTTTAAAAACATATTTTACATGAACATTCACATGTCAATGATATAAAATATGCGTGCATGTTTGTGTCTGTAATATAAATATATATATATGTATAACACATATCATATGAACATAAACCTACATACAATACATATTATTATAATTTATTATATGTATGCCAATGTATGCATTAAAAAAATAACTATACTGTATACAATACATACTACTATTATATATATATACATATATATATATATATACATATATATGTATATATATGTGTGTGTGTCTATACGTATATAAATGTATAATAAATATATAATATTATATATATGTATGTGCTCTTTTTTATAACATTATACAACATACATTAATATCACACCATCAAATCACATCATCCCGGTGAGAAATGGCTGCGGCGGTTGACAACTGGATGATATGAAGCCTAGGAATCCACGGCTTGGGAGTAAAAAAAATACTCCGCGATCAGCTTGACTTCTGAAACATCTTTTTACATGTTCTTACTACAGTTTCCCAGTTTAAAAAAACACTGTTACACTATGTTACACTGTTACCCAGGCAAAGAGGCTCTGGACTTCATTTGTGTTTATGTTCTGCTTTTCGCTTTTGTGAATTAAGGATTCAACACGATTCAACGTAGAAGCACGCTTCGCATCACAGAAACACAACGCTGAAACATCACTGGGATCCTCAGTTCCTGGCCCAGGACCGAAAGAACCTAACCGAGTATGTCGGTTGCTCATGGCATGACGACGTGGCTCCAAATAAGTTTTTTGGGGAACCTTTTTTAATTCAAAAATGCACTTAAGGCCATTTGAACTAACTGAATGATTCAAAGATTCTTAAGGACTGTTTCCAAGATTCTTACATATTCTTACCAAGATTCTAAGGACTTGGCCACTGGCAAATGAGCCGAAGAGCGGCTTTCGTTCGTCGCCTCCACAGCCAAACGGCCATGGATACGAATCCAAATCGGATCCAAAGGTTGGGGATTGAACCAGCCTCCTCAAAGGTGAACCCCTGAATCCCTGAATGATAGATTGCCCTTACTGTAGTAGTTTGTTGGTCCATAACAAACCGTTAAGGTGAGGCTTTTTGTTGGGCTGGTCAGCTTAAACAGAACACGCTTGCAAAAAGTGGAGTCGGTGCAGTGAACAGCAACCCCGGATGGCAAGAAGTGACAATGACTATATCGAGATTACATCCTCTCGTCAAGAGCCAGCAATTGCTTGAGTCAAAGGGATCCTCTTTGTCTTTGATTGTTGTTCACTAATAATTGAATTGACTTGCTGGAGAATTGATGGGAAACCCTGGGCAAGTCGCCATCAAAGATGATATGTTATGAATTGTTGTGAGGTGTTCAGTCAATACCCTCATATTTGAGTTTGGGCCCCCCCCTTTAACCACCAAGAGAAGAACAGCCAAGTTCGCCTCCGACAGAGAGCAACTTGGTGACCCTGGCACGGCCACTGAATCAAAATGGTCCATACTGCAAATCGGACGATGTCAGATCCTTAAACTTACAAAAGTTCCCGGAAATTGGACGGCTCAGATTCCAAAAATCAGACGCACCATTTGACCCCCTTAGCACCGTGATTTTTGATTCATTGCCACAATGTCAAACCCGGATCAATAGATCCTGACTCTTAATTGGGGGTGTTACCCCCAAAATAGTGATAACTTTCTATTAAATTAAAATTGGTACCTTTCACCTTGAGAAACTGGGGACTCAACATAGTGATCTGCAACCAACCGAGGACCCTCCGAAGATCGCGCACCTGTCGTTGAAGAAGGTCTTGATACTGGAAGTTGCCTAGAGCGATGCAGTGAACTGTGCGGACAACTACAGTATCCATTTGGGCATTATCATGGGCAGTTATCCTTCAAGTGGGGATGGGGCAAAATCCATTAAGACCATCTTTGGGGGAATAGCCATCCATTCACCAACTATTTTAGGGTATCTAGGGTATCAAGGTCTTGACTTATAGCCAAATGTTGTCCTTGGAAATAATTATGTTATTGGAAATTCTCTAGGCATTTGATGAACTTTAGTGCTTCAAACTGAGGGGGGGGATGCAAGCACCAACTGGCGGGTAAAACATGGTAAAACTTGTGCATGATTGGACAGCGCGCTGTACACACACCACCAAAAATATTGCAATTCCAAAGGCAAGCAAAAACAACTTGAACTGCCTGGAACCTAGCACATGCCCTTTCATGGCAAAATTACACACACATTATATAAGCATGACAATCAACAAATTATACCTATATCTCTCTCTATCTATCAATCTATCCATCTATCCATCCATCTATCCATATAGCTATATATATATATATCTATATATCTTTATCTCTATATTTCTCTATCTATCTGTCTGTCTGTCTGTCTATCTATCTATCTGTCTTTCTATCTATCTATCTATCTGTCTATCTATCTATCTGTCTATCTATCTATCTATCTGCCTATCTATTTATCTATCTACCTCCAATTACATTCTTAAAACCAAGCAATGATATATATATATATATAATTATATATACATAATTACACATATATCGACATATACATATGATATGTCTATACATATATATATATGTATGTAACATGTGTGTGTGTGTGTCCCAAGTCATGGCCAGAAAAGCCGTCGGTTGGCCTCCACAGGAGCATCACCTGGCGGATGTGGGCAAAGCTATTTTTCCTGCAGCATGTAGGAATCCACACTAATCTGCTACTATCTAGTTGGTCACTGGATTGGTTTAAGGAAAAATCTACAGGAAACCATGGTTTTTACCATCAAATATAGGGCTTTCCTGTAAATTTTCCCATCATCCAATTCTATGAGTTGGTGGTTGAGCCCTACCCCTCTGAAAAATATGAAATAGTCATAGTCAGTTGGGATGATTTTATATTCCCAATATATGGGAAAATAAAAAATGTTCCAAACCACCAATCAGCTATTAATCCATACTAATCTATTATCTATAAAGATCTATGAATCCATCTGTTCAATTCATCCGAATGAAGCCATACAAATCCATATTAGTCCATACCTTGAAGATCTACGGTCAGATTGGGTGGGGCGCGCGGCTGGGGGTGGGGAAACATCCAACCAACGCCTGTCTGATTTTGGAGGTCGGGTTCATATCCAAAAGCTCTGCAGTAAGTATTTAAATATGGGAAATAAATGGAAATAATGGGAAAGAATGGTGAATCATTGATAATGAAGGGTGAGATTTTGAATGGGATTTACCCTCAGGTAATCAACTGTGGCTAGCTGGGAAATTCTGTATAAATGGATGGTCGCTGGGAATTTCTCAACGAACAATAGTTGGTGGATCTTCCATGATTTTCCAGCACGCCATGTTTGAATACCGGAGGCTTCCGGTTGGATTCCTTTCAGGTGATCCCACTGAACCGTGAACCAGAGAAGTGACACAGGTGTCATAGCACCAAACACTGTTGCATTCAGACAACCGGTGTCACATTCCAAAACTCAACCGCTGGATAGGTAGGGATAGGAACACGTTTAGAGGTGAAACCACACACGATATGTTCATCTCAAGTTGGCTAAATTGGCCTTCCAACTAGCCATCTACTCTGTTGCATCCAAACACTTGCCTAATACAAAACAAGGAACCGCACCAACACAGGTATTTAGTGGCACGATGTTGATGACCTAGGCAACATCCTGTAAACAGACTGACAAAATAATCTAGATCATCGAGGGCTGCGGGCTGTTTTTCGAAGTGGGGCTGTCCCATGTCCCATTGCCATGTTGGATTACACTTTGAAAAACCTCAAAAACACCGGCCGAGCGTGCCAGCATCAGCACTTGATTCCTGTGTCAGCCGGCGAGCTGTGTCTGGGTTTAGCTTCTCGGGCATCCCATGATGAGCTGGGGCTGGCAGCCAAGTAAAAACGTCTGATTGGTCTGATTGGTGGCACCTCCCCAAACAGAATTGGGATCATCCCCT